CAAAATATAAATTAAATGTAATAAAAATAAAATAGCTGAGAAATGTCTAAAGTTTCCCAGATGCAATAAAGAAAAAGATATTCTACTTCACTGCTCACCAAAAAATTCACACTTGAACACATGTTTAAACTGACAAAAACCAAATATTGAAAGCAGCAAGTGGAAAAAGCTAACATACAAAGGAATAAAGATGAGAATCAAAACAGACTTCTCATTAGCAACTGCAGCCAGAAAACAATGCAGTGATATCTAGAAAAAAACTGAAAGAGCTATCAACTCAGAATTCTATAAAATATACCTTGTATAAGTACCAAATACCCACAAAAAATGTAAACACTATATGTTATAAACATGAGCTAAGGATAACAAGAAGAATGAAAATGGGAAAGAGATACAGGGAGGGGGAATAGACAGAAAGAGGAAGGAGACTAAAAAAAGAAACAAGCAGTGTTGCATAAATACACCTATTCCCCAAGATGAATGTAAATGTCATGTACTACAAACATATACTAATGAAACTAAAACTAAAACAAAGAAAAAAAGTGAAGATTTAATATACTACTTTCAATATCAGGAAGAATGAGGCAGAAGAAAGGGAAGACTTGAACAACCCTGTAAGCCAACTACACCAACAGACACCCAACACCACCAGAATACATACTTTGCTAATGTGCACAAACAATATTCTCCAAAATAAATCATTTGATGGCAACAAGCAAGTCTCAAACATAAAAAGGATAAAAATCATTCAAAGTATGTGTGCTAAGTTTCCACTGCTATGAGAAATTCTTGAAATAAATCAACTTAAAAACAGGAAAGGTTTCTTTTGGTTCACTGTTTCAGGGGTTTCAGTCCAGGGTCTTACTTTTTGCCTTTGAGCCTATGGAAAGATAGTACAGTACAGAATGATGTAAATGCATGGCAAAGGAAACTCTCCATCTCATAGCATTCAGGAAGCAAAGAGGGGGAAAAACAGGGGTGAGGTCCCTATATTCCCTTGAAGGGCATGTCCCTACGTGATCTAACTTCTTCTAACTAGGCCACACCTCCCAAAAAAGTCACTTAAGAAGAAATTTGGGGAATATACAAATACATGGAAATTTAAACATTCCTAAATAATCAATGAGTCAAAGAAAAAAATTACAAAGAAAATAAAGCTAGGCATGGTGGTACACACCTATAAGATAGGAAGATTGCAAGTTCTAATCCAATCTATGCATAGTGACTTAGTGAGACCCTGTCTCAAAATTTAAAAAGGGTTTGGAATATAGCTCAATACAATGATCCTGGGTTCAATCCCTAGTACAAAAAAAAAATTTTTTTAAGAAAATATTTTGAGGTGAATGAAAATGAAGGCATAACGTATGTCTTCAAAACCTATGAGATAAACCAGGTACAGGGCAGCCCTCTGGGTGGCTCAAAAAGAAGGATCACAAGTTTGAGCTCAGTCTCAGCAACTTAATGACTTAGTGAGACCCTGTCTCAAAACAAATAATTAAAAAGGGTTGGGAATGTAGCTTAGGAAGGCTCTGGGTTTAATCCTCAGTACCACAACTAAAAGAAGGGAAAAAAAATTTACAAGATAAAGCTAAAGGAGTTTTTACAGCAAAATTGATAGTTGTATAAAGCCTATACTAAAAAAAGAAAATAAATCTCAAATCAATAGCCTAAACTTCTATCTATAAATGCAGGAAAATGAGTAAATTAAAGACAAAAGAAGGATGAAAATAAAGATTACAAGCAAAGCAGAGAACAGAAATAAGAAAACCTATAAAATAAAAAGCTGGTTCTTTAAAAAATTCAACAAAACCAACAAACTTTAAGCTAGCCTGAGCTTAAAGAGAGAAGGCTCAAATAACTAAAATAGAAATCAAAGGAGAGTCACTACTATCTAACTTATAAAATAAGGTTGTCCACATGGAAATACTAGGAAAAAATGTATACTAATATATTAGATAACTTAGATGAAATGGATAGATTCCTTGAAAGATACAAAGTACCAAAACTAACTCAAGATATAGCAAATCTCAATAGAACTATCCTAAGACATGAATTAGTAATCAAAAAATTACCTACAAAGGATAAGGACCACATAGCTTCAACAGTGAACTTTGCCAAATGGTTAAAGAAAAATCAAGATAAGTTCTTCATAAACTCTTCCAAAAAATAGAAAATGAAGAAACACTGCCCCATTCATTCTATAAGGCCATGTAAGCCTGATATGAATTCCAGTCAAAGACATAAAACTAAGAAAACTACAGATTGAATGCAGATGCAAAATCTAAGCCATAATACCAGCAAACTAAATCTGGAAACATATTAAAAAAGTACATAGTATGACTAAGTGGCATTAGCCCATGAATGGAAGATTGAATTAATATGATAATCAATTATCTAATAAACTGAAGCTGGGCTTGATGGCACACACCTATAACCCCAGCACTCAGGAGGCTGAGGCAGGAAGATTAGCCCAAGTTTAAGGCCAACTTGAACTACAAAGCGAGACCTTATCTCAAGAAACCAAAAAATAAATAAATAAAACCATTATCTAATAAACCAAATCAACAAAATAAAATCACAAAGTCCACATGATCATTATAATCAATACAGAAGCACACACCTGTGATCCCAGCACTTGAAAGGTGGAAGAGGATCACAATGAGTTTGAGGCCAGACTGAATTACATAATGAGACCCTGTCTCAAAACCACTCCCCCAGGCCGGGCATGGTGGCGCATGCTGTAATCCCAGCACTCAGGAGGCTGAGGCAGGAGGGAGGATCACTGTGAGTTCAAAACCAGCCTGGGCTACATAGTGAGTTCCAGGTCAGTCTCAACTACATAGTGAGACCCTGTCTCAAAATACCAACCCCACCTTCAAAATACAGAAAAGGCATTTAACAAAATTCAACACTTCATGATAAAAACATTTTAAATGGCTAAAATGGTACATATTACATATAATTTATGACAATTTTAAAAACTGTTTTAATAAGCAAAGGAAATAAATTTGGTATTTCTGCAAAAACCTGATATACAGATGGCCAATACGCATGTGAAATAATGTTCAACATAATTAGCCATTAGTGCAAAAAAGGTGGTGCACACCTGTAATCCCAGCACTCTGGGAGGCTGAAGAAGGAGGATCATCAATCTAACCTCAGCCTTGGGAACTCAGGAAGACCCTGTCTCAATAAATAAAAAGGGCTGAGGATGTAGCTCAGTATAAAGGCCATGTGTTTAATCCTCAGTACCAAAAAATAAACAAACAGAGGGGAAGTGTAAAATGGTGCATCTATTTCTACAAATGTTCTGGGGGCCAAATATAGCAGTGCACACTTGTAATCCCAGCACTTGGAAGCCTGAACCAGGAGGATCACAAGTTTGAAGCCAGCCTGGACTACATAGTGAGTTCAAGAACAGCCTGAATTACATAATGAAACCCCATCTCCAAAATACAAAAATAAATTAATTAAAATGTTTTGGGGATGGGGATATAGTACAGTGGTAGCCTGTGCTTCCCTAGCATGAACATGAGGCCCTGGATTCAATCCCCAGTACTTCAAAAGTAAAAAAGACAAAAACAGGGTTTTTCCAATTCTTCAAATGACTGACTACAGCATTATTATGTTACCTAGTAATTCCATTTCTAGGTATATATCCAAGAGAAATAAAAAAATATATAAAATTTGTACATCAGTCAAGATAGCCACAAAGTAGAAACAACACAAATGTACATCAAATGATTAATAAAATATGGTATAGCAACGTAATGTAAGGAAATAATATCTGACACTAAAAGACTGACGTAGTGGGCCAGGATTAAGCTCAGTGGTTCCGCCACCTGCCTTGCATGTGCAAGGACCCAAGTTCGATTCCCGATACAAAAAAAAAAACAGAAAGAATGAAGCACTGATGCATACTAAACCATGGATGAACCTAAAAACATGCTAACTAAAAGAGGTTAGTCACAAAAGACCTCACATTACAGTATATGATTCCACTTATATGCAAAGTCTACAATAGTATATCTATGAAGAAAATAAATATCTGCCCAGGGCTGGGAGAGGTGAGGGGTTTGTAAAGATATGAGTTTTTTTCCTTCAGTGATGAAAGTATTCTAAAATTATATTGTGATGACAACTGTACAACACTTTTAATATACTACACTTGTTTTTTTGTTTTTATACTACTGGGGATGAAAGCCAGGGCACTCTACCATTGAACTACATCTCCATCCCTTTTTACCCTTTTCTTTTTTTTTTTTTTTTTTTTTGAGAAAAAATTTCACTAAATTGCCTTAGATAAGACTCAAACTTGCAATTCTCCTACTTCAGCATCCCTCAATACCAGGATTATAGGAATGTGCCACTGTTCCCTGCTTCACTGTATGCTTTAAATAGGTGATTTAGATGCTATGTGAATTAATATATCAATAAAGGAATTCCAAAAAGTGGAGAATTGAAGACATTCTCACACAAAGAGAAAATTATTTACGAAAATGTAGCATAAAGTCTTGGCAACAGTATATGCCCAATTTCCAACCCCTTTTGTTACTTTTGTCATATATTTTCCATTTACATATACTATAAACTTATGTTGGTAGTATTACTTGTTTTTCAGAACAATGTAAATGAAAAATTTTTAATTCTGTACTTTGCTTTATGTGTGCCATTTCAAGCACTGTTTTTGTGTGTACTTATTGTGTACATCCAAGATTCTGTTCAGTATCATATTCTCTATGCTAAAAGAACTTCCTGGAACATTTAAACGAAGTGGAGACCTTTTGGTAGGAAAAATTTTCTTGACAAAGTGAGGCAAGTGTGCTTTTAAGATCACATTTTTAATTCCAATTCTCTTCCTCTAACAATGTAATCTGTAGGTAACTCCATGTGCAATTTTAGGAATTTAATAAAATTTGAAATAAACAATGCATATGTATCCTTAAGTACACTTTATCTAATTAAAAAACTGTTAATTGAACTAAAAAATTAACACTTACGTGCAATTTTTCTTTTAGCCAAACACTTTGCTCTATTTGATTGTTTTGTCTTCATTTTCTGCAATTCAGTTTCCTCCTTTGGTTCCTGTTGCAAAAGAACAAAATACTATCATAGTGGCTGCCATGAAGAGTAGTGATTTCTCTTATCACCTATATACTTCTGCTATGGAAGGAATCAGTAAGTGACACACAGAGAGGCAGCAGAATGGAAGTAAAATAACAAATTTACTCATCGATAAGGGCTGATCACACATAAGCCATGCCTGGATCGATGACGACGCACTGGATACAATTCCTCCTTTTATAGGGTTTTACAGCCTTGACTTCATTTGGGTGCATTTCATTTTCACAGTTCAAATCACAGTCACAAAATAGGTAATCTTTTCAACCCAGATGTAACAGTTCTTTGCAGTTGGGGGAGTTTACCTTTAAGATTCGCCTAGTTATCTATTCTAGCCCATAGGAAGGGATGTTCAGGGTCACAGGAGCGAATGTTGGCAATGGTCCTTTTTATCTTGACACTTTTATAATCAGGTGGCTTCAGTTTCTCTGGGAGCTCAAGACCTTGATGTGCCCTGTTATCTCAGGGTAAGACCAAATGCCTCATTCAGCAATTTGTGCCTTCGGTGCCTATTAGTTTTGAGCTAAACAAAACAAACTGCTGTTAGAGACAACAGAAGCCACTTTACATTGTAACACTTCATAGATTTTTGCTATTTATAAAAGTTTTTCCTATCACTTCCTTATGGCTAAGAGCAGTCTCTGAAGAGTTCAGGTTTGCTACAAATGTGCACATTACAGAAGAGGCTTTTTCCATAACCCTTCCCAAAAAAGCATAAAAGATCTGGAAGCAATAATACCATAAAAGTTAAAATGTATAATAAATTGATATTATCTGTCACATACTCGCAAGCGCAAGGACCAAAGTTCGATCCCCGGTACCAAAAAAAAAAAAAAATCAAATCTGTCATATAAACAGGCATGTAAAAACTGCCCAATCTTCAAAGTACTAATCAACATCTACTCAAGACTAGAGAAGCTTGATTCAATGCTTTAAAAAACAATGTTTAAATTATGCATACATTTATTTTTAAATGTTCTTTTGTCACGAGGTAGTAAAAGAAAATAAGAAAATCAAATATACCAATTATATGTCCCCTCAAAATTTAACAAGAGGCACTGAGGAAAGACAAAAAAAAAAAAAAAAAAAAAAAAACAACAGAAAATACTCAAGACAATAAAAATGAACTGAAAGAAAGTGGCTGAAATAGAATACAGGGAAATAACAACACTGAGGCAGGAGATTAGAACATGGTCAACCAGCTAGGCAAGCTGATGTGACCTGTCAATCACAACGATCTAGGATACGTGAAGAAAACAGTTCCCCGCACCTGGGACCAATCAGAAAGTACTATCTACAAGTTTTCTGGCACAGAATCAAGCAGGTTTCTAATCCAACATCAGCTTGAAAAATGGGAAACTCAAAAGACATCAGCCATTAACCTCATGGTCACTGTGAATTCTCTCAATGGCCCAATCTCACTCTGCAGAGTATTCTTTTCCTACCTTTAATTAGCCCTCTCTCACTGTGCACAGCATACTTCTTTTCCTATCTTTAATAAATGTAAAACTTCACTATTTTTTTTGAATGTCTTGCCCAATTCTTTGTTCAGGATACCAAGAACTTGAAAAGAATCCCTGAAAAGAATCTACTGAACCTCAGAACCTGGCAACAACCCTATACACAAATACTGTAAATATTAAATATATAATTTAAATATTCTTTATAATTATATATTCTTTATTGTGTATTATTACTATTAAGTACTCGAAAGTACATAAAATTTATATATATTGTTATATATATGCCATTTCTATATGTTATATGTATATAGCATATACACAGAGAGACAGAGAGAGAGAGAGAGAGAGAGAGAGAGAGAGAGAGGAAAAACAGTATTAAACATGCAAGAACTTGAGAAATGGCTATATTCCTAAGCCCTTCTTGACAATCTAACAAAGAATGAAAATGATTCAACCAAAAAATGACTAGAGAAAAACTGGCCAAAGGGAAACCTGTCTATCATGAGGACCAACCGTGCAGAAGTTTCCACTGAGTGTTGCTACCCTAGGCACGGCAACGTAAGCAGCCAGGCGATCCTGCCCACCTGGGTGCCCTTCAGGACCACAATGTCCTTGGAGGAGAAGCTGGCTTTCTCCCTGTGCCTGATGGAGGAGAATTGGAACACCAAGAAGATGTCTCCCACTTTCCACCTGGGTAAGGTGGCCCATCTACAGGTTGAGTTCTGCACTGGCAGCCACCTGCCATTTCAGCTCTTCATGGACCACTGTGTGGCCACACTGAAACCAGACCAGGACACGTCCCCTCATCACACCATCATGGACTTCCACAGCTGCCTTGTGGATGGGCTATCTGACAGCACTTTTGTATTCGAAGCCCCCAGACCCAGGCCAGACACGCTTTGGTTCATGGTGGACATGTTCTACTTCGCTAATAACTCCAGAAACATGATATATATATATCACCTGTCATCTGAAGGTTACTGCAGCTAACCAAGTCCCAGACCAACTCAACAAAGCCTGCTCCTTCAACAAGCCTTCCAACAGCTAGTTCCCAGTAGAAGGCACTGCTGACATCTGTAAGCGCTGTGACAAGGGAGATGGTGGTGGTCCAGGCTATTTCAGGAGGCAACTCCCTGAGGTGAGCCAAGGATTCAGAGCCACTTCACAGAAGGGGAACTGCAGGCACGTAACAGAAGAAGCAGATGTCACCGTAGAACCACAGATCTTCCTGGCAAGGGCTAGTGACCACAGTGTGGAGGGCTGGACCCTTCCCACTCATATCCCCATGGTTCTGGGCTTGGGCCTGGCTGCAGTGGCATTCCTGAACCTGTCTGTTGTCCTGGGTCTTTACAGGAGGTACCACACTGCTTCCTATTCTGTGTTCCTTCCTCAATAAAAGGAGAAAGCCAAACAAACAAACAAATAAAAATGTATTTAATTTTAGATCTAAGACCAAAACAGATAAAAGACAAGAAAAATGTGTAAATTTATGTCTTCTAATAAGTCAAATGATGCAACTAATAAATGAGAGAAGACAAGCAAAAAGTAAAATAAGTTCATTGAAAGGCATGCTATTAAAATAAATGTTTTCCCCAAAATATCAAAATATATGCCAAAAACAAAGAACATATTAAAAGAAATATACTGTATGCATGATGGTGCACGCCTGTAATCCCAGCACTTTAGAGGATGAGGCAGGAAGACTGCCACAAGTTCATCCTGGGATACCTGGTGAATTCAAGGCCATTTTGAACCACATAGTGAGACCCAGTTGCAAAAAATTTAAAAATAATAATAATATATATATATATATGTGTGTATATATATATAATATATATATGTATATATATGTATATATATATATATATATATATGGTGTATATGTAGTGTATGAGGTATGGTTGAAATATATGGTGCATGTTGAAATTTTTTAAAAGTCTATTACAGTAAAAGACACATTGCCATTATTTCCCCCTCAAAATGCCCTCCCTTGTTTGAACATTCACTTTCCATGGTCATTTTGACTTTGGGGAAGATACAGAAATCACATGGTGCCAGATCTGGTACATATGGAGAATAAGGGCATACCATAACGTTTTTATGAGCCTGCCTTTCTGATGGATGGCCCAAAGAAACAAAAGAGGACTTCCAGAACTACTTCAGAAAATGGCAAGAAAGATGGATAAATGTGTTCAAAGTGAGGGAGAATATTTTGAGAATTATTGGCAAAGTGTCTTTAATATAATTTTTTAAACTTTTTAACATTCACTATCTTTTGATCACAACTCATATATAGCAGAAAATAACAAGGTGCAACTCAAGGCTCTACACAAGAGATTTGGTTATGATAAAGTAATTCAAAATGGCTAACAAGATAATGGTAACTGTATGAATCTGAATCTCTCTGCTTACCCTAGAGAAAAACCATAAGATCAACAAGGCCTATAACACCATGCGTGATCAATGCCTTCAGCATTATTAGGAAACAGAATATTACAGGAGACCAGTTTGAAAATGCACTGAGCAGGCTTTAGGTATTATTAAATTGGCTTATGAATTCAGCTATCGGTTAAAATTATGAGTCATTCCAAGGCTTAAATGCAATTTGCTAATGGACCCTTCGGCTGGTGTATGGAGACAGACTTCCCTATGCCAATGCTCATAAGTGAGGCCTCAATGATTGATGAGGTTGTGAAGCCTCTAACAGATATAAAATACTGCAGTTGAGGAATTATGACTCCATGCAACCATTCTTCAAGATCAAATGTTAGCTAAAGATAATGCAGGTGGTTTGTTAACTGTGACCTGTCCTTCACAAGAATGCATAATTACTCCCCTTTTACAGTGTGGCTCATTAGGACATTAGTTCTACTACTCCTTATATCTGCCTTCATGCCTCTTTACTATGCTGTATAATCATAAATACTGACTAATGAAGAGCTTACAGTCTTTTTTAGTCAGGAGAGAGCTAAAATCAAGTAATAAACTATGTGCATTATTCTTTATTCCTTTTCTTGGTATATTATTCTTTCATTCCCTGCTGTACCCACAATCAGGTGATTGAGCATCCTCCAATAACTAACTGGTGGACATGCTATCCACCTGACAAAGTACATCACACATATTATATTACCTCCAAGTAGGAAATGAAACTAACAAATAACTTCTGTGCTCTGACCACTGCTGAAGTCTGTAGGTACAAAGAGCAGATGAAAGAGGTTTAAGAGACTCTACGAAAAATAATGAAGCAAAGAATTTAAGTCATAGACAAAATAATCCTTGGAATCAGAAGGTCCAAAAGTAAAGCCAAACACTGAGCACAGGTCCGTCCAAGATTTGTTAGGTCATACCAACAGCTACATTAAAGGGCCTTATCACTTATATATGGTCCTGATTTCCTCCTTTCATTAATTTTAATCTACTTTATATAAGGTAACATCCTGCTTTGTTATAATCATGTAGTCTATGCCTCTTTTGGAACATCATCAAATATTCAATTAAATGTGAATTAACAATTCTACAAAGTTCAAAACTAATGCTAATATTTTAGTTTTGTCCCTGGAACACAACTTGGGTGCAGAGAACAAAATGAGTTGTATTAAAATGAATTTGAGGGATTTAGCTTAGTGGCGCCACCACCTATCTCACAAGTGCAAGGTCCTGAGTTTGATCCCCCCCCCCGTACCACAAAAAAAAGAAAGAAAAATAAATAAATGAATTTGGCTTAGGGTTATAAATCCTTTTCAAATCTACTAAGACACTATATAAAGTACAAGTAGATGAAATTAAAAACCACAGAAAAGTTTATTTTTGAGAAATGTCTCAAGTTTTTTAAGTTATACTCACTAAAAACATCACAAGCAGTATTTAAAATTAGAAAGAAATCAATCCATGATATTAATACAGTTAAATACTTATCCCTTAATGCTATAGTTTGGATCTTAAATGTTCTTCTGTTAAAAGGATTGGGCTCGGAGTAGCACTATTGAGGATGGCATAACTTTTAAGAGGTAAGGACTAATGGAAGGCCTTTAGGTCACTGGGGATGTTCCCTTACAGAGCACAGCCTCTTCCTCTTTGTTTCCTAGTCATGAGATGAACATTTTTGCTCTACCTTGCACTCCTGCTAAGATGTGCAGCCTCACTACAGCCCCCAAAATCAACACAGCCAATCTAGTACAGACTAGAACATCCAAAACTATAAGTCAAAATAAACTAACAAAGCTAACACACTCTATAAGCACTAGGGATTGATTCCAGAAATCAATCCCCTTCCTCTTGTAAATATGAAAATCTGAGAATGGTCAAGTCCCTTTTATAAAATGGAATACTGTGTGCATATAAAATCCTCCCATATATACTTTAGATTACATATGTAATATAATGTAAATGCTGTGTAAATAGCTGTTACACCGTATTCTCTAGGAAATATGAAAAAGTATACATGTTCAGTAGAGAACCAACCATCTACATTTTTTTAAACCATCTAATTTTCAATCCACAGATGCAGAATCTCTGCATACAAAGGGTCAACTGTATAAGTAATGCCAGATGAGAAATTTGAAACATGAGTTATCAGAAATTTTATTCTCATTTCTATAGCAAATATATGACAAGATTACAAAAACTGAAAATATCCATTGGCTCAAGGCAACAGGTAAGAAAAGAAAAAGATTGATAGTTTGAATATTAATATATATAAACTAAATAAGAAGGAATCAATGTTTACATAAAATTTAAGAGTAGATCACTTAAGGGCCAGGGATTTACCTCAGTGGTTCTGCTGCCTGCCTCGCAAGCACAAGGTCCCAAGTTCAATCCCCTTTATCAATCAATCAATCAATCAATCAATAAGATCGCTTAAAGGACAGCATTTCAGCTGGGGATTTAGCTCAGCAGTTCATTGGCCTGCCTTGCAAGCACAAGGACCCGAGTTCAATCCCCGGTACCAAAAAAAAAAGGACAGCATTTCTAAGATATTTTAAATATTAGATCATTTGGCAGCTTTCAATAGTTAAAAGATATTTCACATATATTGAAACCAAGTAAATGTAGGAAAAAAGGACTTAATACAAAATAGTTAAAAAATAAGTCTGTTTTATCAGTTTTAAAAGAGTGTTGTGTATGATACGCATTAAGTTTTGACCTCAGGGATAACTATTATCATCTACATAAGAAAGATTTGTATTATTTCAATAATTAGATTTTCTGCTTTTAAGAGTTCTTAGCTATGAGATATAGTTCTTAATTATGAATCTATGATCCACTGTTTTGAGAGAATTCTGTTACCTTATATAAACTAGTTGTTATGTGTTCGGTAATATAATTTTAAATTGGACAGATTTACTATCCTTAATGTTTTAAGTCACAAATGTTAAAATGTAAACTTGTTTTAAATAATTTTTCTATTAAAAAATAAAAGAAACAGGGATGGGGATTTAGCTCAGTGGTTCCGTAGCCTGTCTCGCAAGCGCAAGGACCGAGTTCAATCCCTGATACCAAAAAAAAAAAAGAATAAAGAAACAAAGAAGCTGACATAGCTATAGTAATATTAAAAAATTAGATATCAGGGTCAGGGGTATAATGTGATAGTAAAGCACTTGCCAAGCATGTGCAGGTAGTACAACATATGCCTGGTTCAATCCCCAGAACTGAAAAAAAATAGATATTAGAGCAAAGAATATTATCAGTTTGTTCAGAGCCAGGCACTGTGGTGCATGCCTGTAATCCCAGCACTCAGTAGGCTGAGTCAGGAGGATCACTTGGAATTAAAGACCAGCCTGGGCTACATAGTGAGTTCAAGGCCAGCCTGAGCAACATAGCAAGACCTTGTCTCCCACTTAAAAAAAAAAAAAAAAAAAAGGTAATGACAGCAGCAGGTACAGCTGCACAGATATGTAATCTCCACTACTCAGTAGGCTGAATCAGAAAAAATCAAAAGTTCAAGGTCAGCCTGGGAATTTATTAAGGTCCTGTCTTAAAAATTTCTTAAAAGGGGCTAGGTCTAGGGCTGGGGATTTAGCTCAGGGGTTCGGTGGCCTGCCTCACAAGGGCAAGGACCCCAGTTCGATCCCCAGTACCAAAAAAAGTGGGGGGGGGGGCGCTAGGTCTAGTTCAGTGACACAGCACTTACCTAGCCTGCATGAGGCCCTAGGTTCAATCTCTGGTACCATAAAAAACAGCAGGTGGAGAGAACATGAATCACATATGGTATACTTGCTAGGTGCCACTTAATATATATTACCTTATCTAATTCCCCTCCCAAAATCCCATGAGATTATCAGTGATCTCATTTCATAGATGAGAAAAGTGAGATTCAAGCAGTTTAAGATCAGGAATAAAATCAGCTCTGTTCTGCTATAAAACTCCAGGTGTCCCTTTCTTTTCTTTTGGATT